GTACTCCTAATAATACATAGAAGTAAACCCAGTCAATTGTAAACATCCAATTCGATTTAGAAATATCGAAAATATAAGGTAAAAAATACAAAAATGCCATTGAAATTAGAACTTATTGAATGTGCTATTTAAACAGAATGAAAGGCCTATGCCGCCCTTCTTCTTTTTATTGTAAAATATTTGACGCTCTATATAAATACGAATAATAATAACAACTATAATTAAATAATTTAAATTATTTTTTTAAAAAGACAATTGTAACACTAATTAACAATTTTGGCTGCTATTTATTTTACATTTTCCTGTTTATTTAATGATAATTATGATGTTTTGACGTATCCGCTGAAGGCGAACCTTATTACTCCCGGAAATAGGAAGCGAAGAGTGGCTGCCAAAAACAAATTTTCTTTTTAAAGGTCTTATTATAAGGTGTAGAAACACTCAACGCACCTTTTTGGAGAAGACGTTTCTGATTCAAAGCTTGTAATGAAATTGTTTTTTGCGACTTTATTAATTGATCTACAATACTTATTATTCTGCAGGTACATCATAGTAATTTGAATATCGCACTAGATAATAACGCACTTATGCTATACACACTCGTATCGTAATGATCCCCGTATGGAATATAGACTATATTATTCACAGATAATGTAGATTACTTTAGATAAAATATTTTTTTTAAATGATGAAGTCTTTTTATATAATCCATTATAAATCAAACACGCATAAAAAAATCAAATTTTTTATTTAAATAACATCAATTTAAATATACCAAGTATCACATTTTGTTTAATATGATTTAATATGAATAGGATGTGAATAAAATTTGTTGTAAGTAGCGTAAAGAGTAAATGAGATGCTATCACGCTAAGACCATTTATAAAATTCTTCTTCTTAATTCTAAATTAAAAAGATACTAAACTATTATACCTGAAACCTTAGAGTTATTTTTTTCCATTAAAATAAACTACCTGTGTGCACATGACTACACTCATAACAAACGCCTGGACTGATTTTATTGAAGATATTTGTATATAATTACGTAATGAGCGATTCCCTTGATGGTTTAGAATGATGTTAGAATTGGACCCAGTAAGCTTCTAAATTTTACTTATATTTTTTTTAATTATTTCGCTGAAATAAAAAGATAACATCTGTCGAATCAGCTAGTTATTTATAATATTAATACTAGAAAATTACAAATAGTAATCTGATATTTCAGTCCATCTCAACACTAGCGTACCATCAACGCCAGTGTTTGCACTTTCCTCTGAACAGTGAATAACATATAAGCATTATTCCCACAGCTCCAGTCTGGGGTTACTAAGCTGCTTGCTGCCTGGGCTTAATACCATAAACAAATCAAACATCTACATGTTATTTAGGTATATATAATATTAAATTAGAATATATGTAGTCACGATTTAATGCAAATATATAGAATCGAGTATAGTCTAAACCGGAATTGACACCAAGTGTACGAAACTGTACGATTGAGGTAGAAAACATCGGAAAAAGCAATAAAGGGCGTATAACACGGAATGTGTATACGGTAATTGATTTTTGCTGCTCAAGATGTTTACTTACGAAAAATATTACAGCACTCAAGTGTTAAATTACATAACCTCATTGATCGTATATTTACCATTATTCTCGTTACCATAATATGCTAGCGAGTGTAACTCAATTTCTAGGCATTTGAAATGTAATAAATAATGAAAAATATTCTTACTTATTAAATAAACACATTTAGAAAGCCTCGAAACTAGTGGTTTACTTCACTACATCGATCCAAATGTCATACGTTCGACTCTAGAGGACACAAAAAACTTTTTGCATCAATTTCTATTTATGACAGTCTCCGGTTATAATCTCTTCCAACCAAGTTGGATTTAAATATAAACAGCGAAATGTAAACATTTGAAGAGTTACGTTCATTGTGGTACTGACAATCACAGGCTACCCTAACTGGGATAACAGTCGTGAAGTTATGTTGTAATAAAATATTTAATATTCTGAAGCAATTAACTTCAACAAAGTTGTTATTCATTTTTGAGTAACAACGAATGAAGTAGCTACAACAATAAACAGAATGCTAGCAAAAGAATAATGACAATGACTTTTTTAATATAGAAAAAGTATTAATTGCGACTACACAGAACATTACACGGTTTCTGCAAACTTCATCTAAATTATGATTCCGACAACTGTATTTTCGTACAATCAGATCATAAGATAAATTTACTCGGTGAAATGTTGGTAAATTGAATAACAAGTTTACGAGCAGCAGAACACAAAGTCTCCAGCCATCACATTTAAAATTACACTCATGAGTTTTTTTGGCTTGTGACTAGATCTATGCCTCGGCCTGTTCCATAAACATAAACACGACGACATACTTTTAATTTATTATGATTATTTTTCTATCTTTTCGATTTTACGTACGAATTTTAGTACATTTTCTTTCACGGAAAATCGTAAGAAAATATCTTTTTCCGTAGATCCTATGCAATAAGATACGTTAAATGAGTTATTAAAGAGCTCATGAAATATTGAAAGTTCACTGTCCACTAACCTATTCAGCTATGAATGTGAAATGTTCTAATTACATCAGAAACTAATAAACGATAATTATCGATATTCTTATGTCAATACACATCTTTATTTATTAGTTACGCATAATAAAATTGTAAAATCTAGACGAGACATAAACTGCTTGAATTAGGGGTCAAGAAAGTTAGGCAAAATACCCCTCTCTAAGAAAGTAATTCTATGACATTATTCAAATATCAAATAATAGATGCTATATATACGCTTTATTTATTAGTCCCTTCTTATGACCATTAAAAGAGAGACTATAAATACTGGCTATAAAGTCGCCGGCATCGCTATGTACTATATAACAGAAAAGGATATAGTTATTATTATAGTTCCAAAATAACTAGTAAGGTAACCTTAAACAATTATTAAAAGGGTCAGTTTACAAAGTTATATTCGTAAGAAAATCTTGTAAGTTATAGTATAACTTTGACTTACTTATAATGTATGTGTAGTGAAAGAATATTTGTATATTATTTATACATGTGGGTGTATATAGCAGCTGATGTACAGATGGAAACTAGGTTTCCATCTGTTTTTTTAGTATATTAATTATAATTTTGCATTATTAACCACAAATTGTACGATGTATGTATCTATGAGCCTGGCCTCATAATGCTTTTCAATAATTTGATTGTATAAATTCTAGTCAAATTTTTTCAATAATTATGGTAGTGGTTGTTAAAAAGATACAATTTCTTTAAACGGTAATTTAAACGTACATTTAATTAACTCTTCAATAGTACTATCGTAAAACGGTGAACACAGTAATCAAATACCTCTGACTACCCCATCAGTCTACTGATTACAATCATTAGCATATTCATAAGCTTAAACTCGACGCAAAAAATTCAATTAACGATTTTTATTATAACAGCACAATGATATTTTTTATCATCTGTTCCGTTGAGTTCCCTTGTATACAAAGCACATTTATTTAAGGAAAATATAAACATATTGATACAATTGCCTTCTCTAATATAACAAAAAAAAACGTAATAATGTATACTTTACCTTATTACATTTTTTTTACCCTTAATACTTTGAATACCTTGCAAAGGTAGGTCTCGCTTGTAGTTTACAATTTCTCAGGTGGGAGGTATCTTAGGATAGTTTATTCTAGTTTAGTCATTACACAGATCAACTGGTATGGCATTGATAACTATGTATGTATTGTATTAGACAATTATCAGTAGTAATTAAAATCTGTCCATATTATCGTAAACCATTTAGAGAATCAAATACAATACAGTCGAATTGGAAACGTGCTTTCTTTTATTTCCGATTTCATTATATGCAAGCTTTTATGACGTGTACAAAATATAAAGTATAATGTAATATAAGTACTACTAAAATACACATACATACTCATAGATACTTTTAATGTATATATATATAATAATAAACTGTTTAAAACAAAGAGAATTTTGAACGCTTGCGATATAATGACACGATATATTATATATTTGATAATCTTTATGGTATAACAGTATGCACAATGCTTCACCGTCCGACGGTCGCGGAGTGTCTTTTCACAAAACAAACAATTTTAATTACTATTCTTTCTGTTTATATGTTAGAATTTATTATTTAAAAAGAAATAAGTATCAACGCTAATTGATATGTCCCATGATCATAGAAAATATAAATATATTATAATAATATAACAGAGGTGCATGGAATTGGATCTTATTTGTTTCGATTTTATTATTATACTAAAATAATAAACACCGCTTATTTAAAATTTCGCGAATATTTTTATTAGAACATTTAATTTCAATCATATCGTAATTTTGAGAAAATAATAATCCGACTAATTAATTAGCTTTATTAAAACTATAATATTGTTCTTGTTACTAGACTACAAATTCTCATCTCGATCATACTTAATTTATAAATGGAGCATAACTATAGCCTAAGTAGTATATTTGTTTTTTTTTTAAAGTCACAAGTGTGCTATTCCTGTATTTAATTATTAATTAATGCTACCAATATTTAAATCAACAAACAGCAGAACTTGATTAAAATTGTAAAATAAAATTTATAAATTATCTATTACATTCACTATAAATAATTATACGATTTAAAAAAAAAATATCATAATGTATCAACTATAAAAAGGTCAATTAAATAAATCTACCAATAAATGTATAATCCTATTAAATTTTAAAACCCATCAAAATAATAATCTTGAAATCGTACCTACAGAATAAAATCAAGAAAAGCTATATAAATATCCTGTCACATGTCAATTTGAAGTTAACAAGCGTATCCTACGTCACGAAAAATAAGTTATCCCTAAAGAAAAGATACAGAGGTAACAAGATACATTGGCGTGAAAGACAAATAGTCTTTCAATTTCTTGACGGTTTATTTTAGGTAAATCATAAATCACTTACCATATAACAATTATGAAAGAAAAAACGATTGCTAATCCTTCAATAACTGAAAAACACCATAATAACACGTTTTTCACGAAATTTGTTTATTATTTGCACTAAATTAGTTAGTGTTGGAATGCACTGCTCGTAGCTGTTCGAATCACCCGCTACGTAGCTACGGAGTCCGCTACAACACATGTAACCCTCGTAGAACCGTAGGCACACTGAGGTACTGTCGGCACGATCTAAACAACCGACGTTTGCCGACTATTGCCGAGTGGAAGCGAGACTTCGTAAGCCGTGATTGATATCAAATGAAATGTGAGGAATGAGTAGTTGCAGAGAGCTCTTTGTTTTAAGGCGCTGTCTCGACGCCCGTATATATCTCTGGAACTAAGCTTTCCTATCTAACTTGAGTTCATAGATAAAAACGTTCATTTATCCTCATCAACTTCTTTAAATGTGCCAAGTTATTATTAAAAACTTATTTTCAAACCAGTTCCATTCGTTTAATTATTAGTTTCCAAACTTTTTTTTTAATTTTTGTCGTAGTGGTAGTTAGTGGCACAAAATTGTTTGTCTATTCCTCTGGCTTACCCAATCTAGATTTAGATTGGGTAAGACAAAGGATACGCACGATTGATCACAATCGTCACACTATGATATGATGTCCGTGGTGCTATTCATGTATATAAGTGAAGTGAGTCATCAGCTGGTAACAAAAAAATAATATTATAAAATCTGGATTCCGAATCTCTCTCACTTGCTGTCTTTTACAGATCTTTTCTCAAAGATATTCTTGTCATTTTCAAAATACATTAATTAAACAAATGTTCAAATAATACTATTAAACATAAGAACAATATTACCCTTCCGCAAATTAATATTAAATACTTTTCCCTGGTCGGTTTCACCCTTTTAAGGTATTACTCGTATCAAAGGTTTATTTAGGTACATTATATTATGTAATAGAATACAGAATAATATTTACTTACGTAAGTAAATCGAAAGCAAATCAACCGATTTCAGAAAGAAGTAGGTTCTATATTCGACTGTACTTTTGTATGTATTATTATTTAATTAAACTTAATTAAACATTTTAAAAAAATATGGTACTAAAGTACGGACTTAATGCTATAGGCATTCTCTGCCATTCAACCATTGATTAATTATTTAACATTAATTACATATTTTTTATTATAGAAGACACATAATTAATATAACATATACATACAATACATAAAATATAACCGCATACATTTAATATTATGAATACTTGTTCTGTGACAGTAAACTTGAAAAATAAGTATGAACATTTATTTCTAAAGTATATTTATTGAGGAGAGTTTCAATGCGTTCAAGAATTCAGAATGAGATACAAAATCGATATATTAAATGTACTTAAACTTAACTTATATATTTTTTAAATGTAATCAATAATAAATTATACAATATATATATGTAGTTAATAAATCTGGACTGTAGCGATAGTGATAACATTTAGTTTAGCCAAGTTATTAAACGAATAAAAAAATGCACGTTGTATATAACTCATAAAATTAAAATTAAATTTGTTTTCGGTAGTACTAACGTCTTCTATTAATTTTCGATTTTAGATATAATTAAAGGACATCTCGTTAATTCAGATAATAAATGATACAAAGTTTGCGCTTGACGTGCCGGATCGATTTTCAATGTGCACAATTAATGTGTCTCAAACTTCGTGTGTTTTTGTTAGAATTCAATAATACTGTGTTTCACTTCGACGCAGTGTTGTCATACCCGTTCATACATTATATTAGGCGGCACAACTTCTGTATTTTTGGAAATTTAATGATGTATAATGTTTATTCTACACTTTACAAACATCATACTTGCAGTTACAAACTTCGTCTGCGATACCCAATATTCAAAATTAAGGTACAAACAAACTATGAAAACGTATTAGTTGTAAAATTATCAAACACTAGAGTTTAACCGCCCCTAAACGTATATTTCTGAAACAAAAGATAGCCTACTATTTATGTCATATTCATATTCATGTATTCATGTCAAATTTCATTGAGATCAGTTCAGCCCTGTAGTTGTGTAATAATAACGTACAAATAGACAGACAGACATTCGCTTTACAATGCTAGTATGGATTGAACATGCCAGCTATTTTCTGGCTGAAATAAAAACATTTCAAAGTACCTAGTAGTATCTTTAGACCTACCAAAGCTTAGCATTGTACTCCAGAGGGCTATCAGATCTCAAACATTATTATACCAACTGAATACTAAACAGAACAACGTAGCTCCAACTTTGTTTGACACATTTAAACAAAGGCCGATCTCTATAAAGGACAAGTCATTGTTAAAAAGTAGACATTTCCTTTTCAGATGGACATGTTGTCAATATTTATTTATATATAGGGTTTACAGTTGTTTAATACAAAATTGTGCTCTGAAAATAAATAATAATAATAATCTCAGGACAATTCACACAACGCTATCTAGATCCAAATTAAGCTGGCTAAAGCTTGTGTACTAGATAACTGATAAAAAACATAGAAATTCTTTTTTCATAAATACATACATATACATATTATACATAGAAAACACCCAAACAGATACAAACAATCATACTAATGAATGAATGAATGATGATGATGAATATAAATAAATATATGTTTGTGCCGTGCCAGGAATCGAACCCGCGACCATCGGACGCAAAGCGGTGTGCTAAACCACTAGACCACTGAGATCGTCAAAATGATTATGAAAACATTATCTTACTACTACTAGTGTTTTTTTTTAATATAACTATTGAGATATACTTTCACCCTCATCCAGTTGAAGTCAGATCATTTAGTCCATCGTGGCGGACAACATTTGACCTCGATGGTTCCCAGGGGGACCGCGTAGTGGTCGACCTGATAGGGTACATTACTGCACACATTACTGACAGTTTAGTCTTCCCTTTTGGTATTTCTTATAAAGTTTTGGGTCAATTTATTATTAATTTATAGTCAAATTATTAATTTTGTATTTTATATGTAGTAGTTTTTTAAGAATTAAATCTATTAACCTTACCTTATTTTAAAGATATTGCTATCAAAAGTAAATCCACCTTTTTGTATTTGTATATGTATCGTTGTGTCTCTAAACAAACAGTATGGGTTTTCTTTAATTTTATTATGCAACATTTTTGTTTATAGATTGTAAGTTGTATAGGTTAATATTCTGGGGATAAAAAAAATAGTAATAAAAATAGTGATATGTCCTTATCCCGTTCAACACGAAAATACACTTAAATATATAATATATCCATAAAACAATAGACAAAGGTTATATTACGTGAGTTGTTTATACACAATTCATAAAATACTAGCTGTTACCCGCGACTTCATCCGCGTGGAATTACCTTTTTTTAATTAAAATAAACACCATTTCTAAAACAAAAGTAGCCTAAGCCTAACTACTTATAATGTTAGCTATCTGCGAATGAATGTCGCGTTATATCAAAAAAGAGACAAACAGACAAAAATGTAAAAATTATTGAAGAATATTAATTAATATATTAAGAAGAATTATATACGGTACTTACTTCAAAAATATTTTTTATCTATACGTATAAATGTGTTTGTAATATTGAAATAACCGTTTTTTATTACATGCATATGAATATAAAACGGTACATATTCCAAAATAACATTTTTTGCAATTTTAGTCTGTCTGTCTGTTTGTTCCCGCTAATCTCTGAAATAGCTGAACCGATTTTGAAGGGACTTTTTTTGGCAGGTAGCTGTTATACTAAGGAGTAACTTAGGTTACTTTTATTTTAGAAAAAATCTTTATCTACGAAGTCGCGGGAACAGCTAGTTTATATATTATTATGTATATCGATAAACCATGAACAGTGTTAGCGAGTGTAATCTAATTTTTTATACACCTATTTACTTGATTACTAATTTACAGAGGTATGTTGGTGTATGTCATACATAAGTAACTATAATTACTACTAAAACTAAAAATTTCAATTTAGTTTAGTTACAGTATTAAATATATTCAAATAATGCAAATTCTCATAAAGCGTTTGATGGTGTATTTTAGAGGGATATTCCTAATAATAATCTCATTACTTAGGCTATAATTATGTGACCTCTAAATAGGTACCTCGTAACAGCAAATTGTATTATCGTTGAGACCATGATTTGGGGATATTGAATTTATTATCATTAAGAGCCTTCAAAAGGGTGGACGATTAAACCCTTCTGAGTGCCTCCCCTTTAGGTAATTTGAGAATGCCAGGAATATTATACCCTTAAGGGTAGTGAAACCATTGACACTGATGCCTCAGGCGACAAGGATAAGTTTCTGTCAGTGTTGTCTAATGAAACAATAAACAGTTTACGCTAGCGTTAGTTATTTTAATCACAAGTAATTTGTTAAGCCCTTCATGAGGATGTAGGATGTGACGGTATTTGATTTATAGCACCAAAGTTTGGATCCTCTGGTCACTCGATATTCATTTAAGAAGGCTGTAATAGATTATGATTAGATTACCTACTACGTCACTTACCAGAGAGATACTTTGTACATAGTCACGCGTACACCTCGAGAAAAGGACGTGGATAAGAACTCAGCGCTCAAGAAATATATAAAAAAAAATACAATCCTAACAGTGTAAAAAGCGCCAGTGTGTTTTGTGATCGTGGCTACTTCTTGTTTACAAGTAATCATTAAATCTCTCTCTCATCCTAGCTATGTAACCCACATGGTAGTGGGGTCAGCTTTCTTTATTACTTTTATAATAAATAAAAAGAAAATATCTTTTGCTTACTTTTGTATTTTTTTAACCATTTGAAATGTTACCGTACTCTTATGGTCCAGACTGTATTAGTGATGCCCACGACTTACAAACGACAGCAATTAATAAACTATTTCTACGAGGCCATCTAATATTTTAATAGTAAATTCATTAATGAAATAGTAAATTGCTTATCGAAAATATTCGGAATTAATTTATTTCATTATTTTATTCTCAGCTTTCTTTAGCCCATATGTACATATGTTAACCCATATTTTACAACATATTGTGCAATAATTTCATACCATATTCCAGCTTTTTTTACTAAATACTTAATTTTTACCTCGTCATGATTTTTGGATATATAAAGGTAAATAATATGTAAATTTAAAAAATGTTCACTAATGATAATATTTA